ATCATCATCATCATCATCATCATCATCATCATCATCATCATCATCATTTTTTCATCATTCATCATTCATCGTTCATCATCCACTTGGGTGGTTGTTTCTCTTTTTCCGCCCCTCCAACGTTCCACCGCCTGCCTCAGGTCCCCGAAGCGGTCACGCAGCACTTCCGCACCTCGACCGGACAGGGGTTGAGGTGCCAGAATGGGCTTTAAGCGGACAGGTGGCTGGATGGTTCCCACTGTTTGGGGTGTGAAAACACCCTGCTTTCCTGTTGCCCCAGCCCATTCCATGGGGTCGAAGGCCTCTTCCGGACCAGGCACTTGGTCTGTTTAGCTGCTTTGCAACTTTTCGGGCCTGCAGGGAGTCGAGGTTCGAACTTTTCAGGTGACTTGGAGGTTGGAATTCCGGGAGATCCAACGTCCCACTCAGTTCCTTTTTTACACGTTCCGAGGCGGAGTAGATGTGGATGATCTATAGCAGGACCTTCCAAGTCCGGTGGTTTTTTGGACACCCCTTAACCACTTAGAGGCTGTCTATAGACACCTCTTGGAAGGTCTTTTGAGGATCAAACTGTTGGGCCCCCAAATCTAAAGATGAGCGGGGCCCGGACGTGACGTAGTCAAGGTCACGGTCATGTCAAGGTCTGATGATGCCACACCGGTGTCGTCGTAGTTTCCGGATGAAGAGGGTGATAACCTTTGTCATACCAGGGTGATACCGCAAAAGAGTGAGACGCAGGATAACCTTTTGGGGGGCTCAAGGCGTTTGCTTCCTGCCTCTCAGCTGTGCCATACCGCCCCACCTGCCCCACCGCCACGTGCAGCGATCGCCGAACCGGAGCGTCGCGCCTGAGGGGATCAAATGGCACGCCGGGGCGGCATCGCCCGAAAGGAGAGTCCAGTGGGCGCTCGATAGGGACTCGAGTGGGTTCGATGTATGGTGGAAAGAAGGTGGGTTTCGAGTGGATCTGGGAAACTGACAAAGTCAAACACGGTTGCTTGCATGTGGAAGCTTCAGTTGATTGATTGGAGACTTGAATCAGGTTTCCTTTTGGAGGGGGCTAAATGAGTTTCAAACAGGTCTTGCCGGTCTTGCTGCTTTCCTCTATTTTCAGATTGTTGGATGAGAGTTGTGCTTCAAGGAGGCAGCTGTGGCCAGTTATTCATGAGCGGACAGCACGCGAAGTGCTAGCGAAAGCATCCTCAAACCAGGTCAGGAGAGCGACATTGAGACCTATAGACCTAATGAGACCTATAGCTCAGCTTAGTTGGAGCCTGCCTCAAAGCTCAGTCAGTCTGCTGGAGAACCTTGGCCGGCCCACTGTACCAACCTCTCAGCACAGGAGTGGGAAAAGACGTTGGTGAACTACAAGAAGCAGTTCCCAGAAGAGGTGCCAACGGTCGAAGGAAACCAACACGGCCAGGCGTTTGACCAAAAGGGCTGACCGAACGCCCCAACCTACTGGTGTCTCGGCTGATTCACTTTCGCTGGGACACCGAGTCCGACCGAGTCCTCCAGCGGTTCCTTTTACATCCAGGTCCTTTCTTGACTACCAGGGCCTTCTTCCTTTTTTTCACTTCAACAGCCCGACCTTTCAACAGCTTGATTCTTAGTTCGAAGGACCACCTAGTGGACCACCTCACCCTGATCGTCTTGCCCAGTTCCAAGGATCTATATACCAGGACCATGCTCGCTGTTTGGGTGTCCAACGGATATCCCTTAAGTGGTGTAGCTTGGGTCTGTCCGTTTTTAACCAACAGCAAACAAGCAAATCACTATTATTGAACAAGGCCTGCAACCTAACCATCACCATCCACTGTTGCAGGTCATAGGATAGATTCAAGGTGTAGCTATATATTCCATTGGAGACCTTTGGGATGGTCAGGACCCCTGCAGCGCCGGCAGTATCTGCCGAAGCATCGCAGGGGCGGATCCTGGAAGACATGATCGCCGGACGCCTGCCCGTGGCGTGGGATCAGTTCTGCAAGCCCTTCCCGGCAGCCACTCGGTGGAACAGCGGAGGGGCGAAGGGGAAGCGAAACGATGAGGAAATGAGATGGGCTGAAAAAGCCTCTCCCGTCCTTTCCGTGGGGCAACTGGAAAAGCTACGTCGTTTGGGTTTCGTTTCGTTCAGGGCGTGTTGGACGAGTTCGAGACGTGATTGGCGTGATGTCGACGACGGCGTTGGAGTTTTATTTTTGCGGGGAACTCAAACTGTACGTGATACCCACCCTCTGAAAAGATCTGAAAAGTATGTAATTTGTTGCCTGAAAGCAAATATGTGCACACATGTTTTCCACCAACACTAGACTAGTTTCAGTGCCGCGCCTACCAACTCTTTCAAGTGCTTTGAGCATCCCCATCGTGCTTCCAACTCTTGAGGCATCCCCCCAACCCACTAGCGATGGCCTCCAAGCCCAATGCTTTGAAGGCCAGCATCGCTCCAAATCTTGTCCACCCCGTCCAGGACGCCAAAGGCTTGGCGACGAGGCAATCGAGCAGCGAATGCTTGAACTTCATGGGGAAAGGCGCGCGCGTGGCCCGTTTCGGCGGTGACATGATGAAGACCGGTTTCCACCCCGTTGCGGTCGTCCGGTTGGATTCCTTGAAATAAATAGGCTGTATAGCGCATTATAGATTTATGTTTAATGTATAGGATGCGTTTTTTAATATTATACAACACATTCATTTTGCATCATATCATATCCAATAAAATAGGATCTATAGTCTAGGGAGTCCTGTCAGACAACCACCTTCAAACTCAGGTCTTTCGACGATCCGAGGGCTTCATCGCATATCTGCGTGTCCTGTCTGGAGATCCCTAAGTAGTGTAGAAGTAGTCCTGCCAGGACGCCCAAGTCAGCATGGATGGTCCAAGTATCTTTTTTCATATATGATCTCCAAATACCAGCACCAATAGACTACGGGGTCTCCAATCGACTAACCCCTACCACTACATCCGTCACTACACTCCGGGATCTCCTTTTCTTCGCACCCCGACATGAAGGTCGAACTACCCAACCTCCGAATTGGTCGCGCCACCACTCGCCCCAGTGGATCCACCCCCCACCCCGCGGTGTTTTTCCCACGCGGGGAGGCGTGCCTTGGTTGATGGGCGGCTCCGCAGATCTGGCGACCTCCTGTCTCACCACGAGCCTTGGTGAAGTGAATCTGCCAGGTGGTTCGAGCTGTGTTCATCCCAGACACGACGAATGGGACTGGCAGTCCGGACTGCCGATGAGTTTGGGGTGGTTGAAAAGGGGTAGTCCCATGGAGTGTCTGGGGTTGTTTGAACCTGTTGGGACAAAACGGCCCACTTCTTTTTTCGGTTCCGAGGTACCTGGCAGTTCCGGTTCCATGCACTGCTTTTGGGTTCGTCTCGAGTACTCCGCTCGAAGGCCGAACTGCGCAGCCGTTGGACCGTTGGATCCATGCGGATGATTGATCACCCAATGGCCCGAAGGAAACGACGGAAGGAAACGAAGGCATCCGGTTGAGAGGTTGAGAGACCTGAACGTTCGGACTCCTGTCGGTGGTACGTATGGGATGGGCGCCCGTCAGGCTGTTCAAGCTCGGATTCTGACTGATCAGATGCCAACTGATCATCTTGCATCGCAGGGCTGGACCGTGTGGCGGAAGAACTTCTTGTCTTTAGCTGATATTCTGGTGGGGCTGGACCTTCATTCATTCCTTTCTCGGGTGTGACAAGAGATCTCCCATGTTTGCAATTGCAATACGTTAACTTGAGTCTGTTTTGCTAGGAGGCTGTCATCTACCCCCAATGGAAAGCATCATAAAAGCATCTGAGTCCCCCTACAGGTGAGACTTTGTAGAGCGTGATCAGAAACCTGCCCTCCGAAGCCTCAGTTCTCAAACACCGCAGTCTTCCGCCTTGTGTGCTGTGCTGGGGAGGCTCCCCAACTGAGGTTGAAGGGCATGGACGATTTCATGCCACCAGCCAGCCAGCCGCTGGGGATGATTTACACGCCTTCGGGTGGTCCGATGGACTGCTGGACCTGTCTGGGAATTGCATATTATAGACTTACTGTATAGACTGTTCCCCCCAACTAATGTGGAACGTGTTTGCTGAACCGGGCTGGTTTTTTGATGTCCCAGAACAGCTCGTGAAGCTGCTCCGAAAAGCAAGCGCCAGATCAAGACGCCGCGAGCGACTGAGGTGGGGCCAATACGCAGGGCGTCCCTTGGGCTTGCCAGTTTCGGCCGCCGGGCCATCGGAGCTCGTTCACTGCAGGCGACCCCGAAGTCCGAATGTTTGGGAGATATGCAGTCAAGGATGAGATGCAGTTAAACATATTTAAATATCTGTCTGAGAATTTTTGAGAGAGATGCAGTTCAATGGATGTGCTGCGGAAGATGTGCTTTGAAAGTTCATGAAAGTTCAAGGTCCACAGAGTGCCAATGGCAGCCAGGTCACAGCAAAAAGAGGGTGACTTTGATGAGTTTATCTACGGCTAACGGCGGTTAAACTACAGAAAGTTATAATGATTTTAGCAACAACATCTCAGTCAGGAGAGCACCCCAAAATCCGTGTGTTTTTGTTGGGCTCGACCGACCAGACGGCCTGGCCGGCCGGGCCTCGGCATGGGTGTTGACTAAGGAAACCTCCATTTTGGGATTCGAGAACATGCCATGGGCTCCATCATGAACGGCTTGGCCCTCTGCAAATTGCGGCCCTTCGGGTCCACCTTCTTAGCCACCTGGCGGAAGTGGCGGGAGAAGTGGCGGAAGTGGCGGGAGGTGTGAGAAAGGGAGCCAGAGGAAACATGGAAGAACCTGGTGGGAACAGCCAGGAAAATCCATCAATTCGATGTGTTGATGCAGCCCCCCTGCGCAGACAGTATCTTGGTTCATCCGTCGACATTCATCTGACAGATTGATCTAGAGTCAGGAAATGTTGGTCTGCGACATCTACAGAAGGATCCAAGATGATCATGATGGATGGTAAGAGAGAGAAAGTGTGACGTTCCCAGCATCAAAAAGAAGCCGGCGAAGAGTTTCTGTTGATGGATCTGTGCTGAAGCGCGCTTCAGCCGGCGGAAAGTAAACTGGTCCATGGAACGAAAGACAATGAATGAAATGGACCAGTATTTTAATCAAGTTTCTCGGATCTTTGCTTCATTCATTCTTGTGGGTGGAAAGTTGAGGATCTGTGGGTGTGAGATCAGTCACAGCATTTGTCGGTGCAATTCGTCATTTTTTGCACCGCGGTGCTTCCGACACAGAACACCCCAGTCACGCCCGGCCACAACGACGACGCAACACGAACCTCTCCTCTTGCTTTTCTGAGGTCTTTAGCGACTATATGAGACCGCCAATTCGCTTAGCGTCCATCATGGAGATGCCCTGCATCTTTATCTTCACCCATGATTCCATAGGCGAGGGCCGCGAGCGCCGAGCGCTTTCTTTCACCACCCGTGTTTGGTCGAGTGAGTTTGGGGATGAGGGGATCCCCTCGTCGGCGAATCCGGGCTTTGCAAAGGGTAACCCATATGACCTTTGTGTTTTTGATAGGAAAAGACATGAAAAGACCATAATGTGTTGACTCCCAGCTTCTGGGTAGTCCTTGCTTCGGGTTCAGCGGAGAACTGCTTCAGCGAATCACTAGACGACCTGTGCACGCAATCCAACCAAATACCCATGGACCTTGCCTGCACAGGGTGAGTCCCTCCGTTATGCCTTCACCACTCCCAGACACCACCTGTCTGGGACTGTCAGGACGGACTGCCGGTCACCGGTCGACCCCCCAAAACCACCACCGCTGGCTTTTTCAGTCCGTCCTGGCCCCACCAGGCGTGTTTGGGACTGGTCGAATTCTGTTGCCGGTGTTGTTTCACCAGGCGTGGGAGAAGATGGTCCCACCCATCAACCAGTGGAGCATGTGGGCTGTTTGAGAGCTTTGGCAGGTGGAAAGCGGAAGGAATGTGGGCCCGAAACTACAGGGTTTTCCACCAAACGGTGTGTGTGTGTGTGTTGTGTTTTGATCCATTTTCGTGGTTGTGTTTTGCTTCATGTACATCCAAAACTGTTGCGCTGGTGGAACATGAAACTGGGTTTCACGGAAACACACTTTAGTCTATAGTGATGGGTCCTGTTTAATGACAAATAATGTTTGATTCCCGAATGCGTAGCGAAGGGTTCCCGTTTATAGTTGGGGGTCTGGGGGTTGGACCTGTGTTTGCATGGCTTGCGTCGTGTCGTCGTCTCTCGTCGTCTGTCGTCGTCTCTCGTCGTTTGTCGTCGTTTGTCGTCGTCGTCGCGTCTCAAATTTGCTGCCATTGGGGGAAGCTTTTGCAAGTGACTTTGCATGGATGCGTCACGTGTCAATTTGCGCCGCTATTCCATTGTGATTTGCATGACACCGACATGTCGCGCAAGAAACGTGCTGGAGCAATGTTTTATAAAGGGTTTAATTAGGAATTGGTGGTTTTGGTCAGCTGTCAGTTTTGCTTTGCTGCTGGCTGCTTGCCTGGAAAAGGAGGGGGGAGTGCAGGTGGACAGGGTTCAGAAGGAACTCAAACCCTTATTAAGTAGGTTTCCAATATAATATAACAAATTTAGGCCCCCCAAAAAAGTTAGCATTATTCAGGAACCATTTTTCAAACATGGGGTCTGGAATAATTTTGGAAAAATTTAGCATTATTGCGGAACCATTTACTAATCAGCATCCAACATTATGTCACGCAGCCTGCCAGGTCAAGAACACGTTCATCCACCTTACGGAGAAGTCCGAGTCGAAGGTGGATGCAACTCGGCGCGCAGCAATACCTTTCGAAAGATATTATATGTTTCCACAACAGTACCGTATAGGAACCCATTTTTTTTGAGGATTTTTGTTCACGAACTATACAGTAACAACAGTACCCTTAGCGGAACCGCCAGTGGCTTGGCCTGTCTCGGTGGAGCCACGACCAGTTGCACCACCCCAGGACATGGAGGAGGACGGCACCAGTGAGCGCGCGGGTTTAGGTTTTCAGCCCCCTGCACAGGCAGGGTATTCGGTAGACCCTCATGCCGCCATGGCGGATGCTCCGGCGCCTTCTACACCTCCAGTGCGAAACCAAGTCCCTGAGCCTCCACGACCGAGCAAGCGGCCGACTCCGCAGCCAATGGAGGAACCTACATCCAAGGCACCTACACTGCCGGGCTTCACGCGGGCCACGGGGTCGGCCTCCTCTTCGATCCCCATGCCTATCCGGTTCACACCAGTCACAGGCGCAGCGTTTTGTGAGATCCGCAGATTGCTGCGCAATTCCATTGGGATTGGCGTTTGGAGGGTCGTGTTTTTGGGGTATTGGATGTGGCCGTGCCATTGGGATTTGCGTTTCAGGGTGTGGCATCGAAGCTCGGTTTTCGTGACAAGTCTCAGCTGAAATGGCGATTTTGGTGGATGGGAGTGTGCTCTGAACGGGTCGAAATCATTCCAAACGTGTGGTGTGGTGCAAATTTTGTTGAAGCTCACATGCGATGATATTGTCACTTTTCGTGGCAGGCGCAGGACTTCGTGCGGGCTTTGAAGCGTGGAAGTGCGATTCTCGTGGTGTGAGGTTGCAAGGTGTGAGGGAGGTGACATTTCGTGGCAGGCGCAGTACTTTGTGCGCGTTAGACGTGTGGATGGGGAAAGATTCGTGGCAGGCGCAGGGAATCCTGAGGTTGTGAGCTGTGGTAGAGGTGAATGTCGCTGTCACATTGGCATGTGAGCGGATGTTGTTTGGAGGGGCTGGAATCGCGAAACTGCTTGGCAGGGCTGCGTGATGTGTGTGCTCCGATGGGTGTTTCCGCTTGACTTTTGGAGGAAGTCTCGCGCGAAACGCTCGTTTTGCAGACTTGGACGTGTGAGTTTTTGAGAAAGTCTCGTGCGAAACGCTCGTTTTGGAGACTTGACGCGCAACCCTCTGCGGAGATCGTGCGTGTCGAGTGTGCGAAATGCAGGCGAGAGTGCGATTTGTCCCATGCGCGCGCAACCCTCTGCGGAGATCGTGCGTGTCGAGTGCGCGAAATGCGAGAGTGCGATTTGTCTGGTGCCCGCGCAACCCTCTGCGGAGATCGTGCGTGTCGAGCGCGCGAAATGCAGGCGAGCACTGGCGACTTTGTAGTACAACTTTAGTACGCGGGGTATCTGGGGAG